GGAAACAGTCGAAGGCAAAATCTTTATCATTGTCTTCGTTTTGGGTGTTTTCCGTCATGATGTGTTTTTTTCAGCACGATTTGACCTGAAACAACGTCCGTCCTTTGACCTTACAGGTAACGTCTTTCATTAACCAATCAAAATGCTGTGTCGTACTGCCGACATTTTCCGATTATTGACGATAATTTTGTTAACGCAATGCGATGTTATATTGCGATATATATCACAATTTCGACAAAAAAGGCGATTTATTTTCGAAAGGTTAATTGAGTGTGGAGGTAGTATTTAAACACCATACACGGTCGCCAACAGGTCACGTCGTTCCCACCTCGAGAGTCTCAATGAACACGACCAATTCCAATGACCAGTTTTCACGACTTGACGATCACATTTTTGGCGTTTCGAAAGCTACTATATGGATTACTTCAGTATTGCAACATCGGGGTTCATCCTGAGTAAACAAAAGGGTGCGAACCGTGTTGTGTGCGTTCGCCATGCACACTGATATTAATGCTAGTTTCCACATAAAAGCACGAACCAAACTACCTACCAATCACGATGCAAATTATACCCAACAAAACGCCATGGGCTTATAATCGGGAATGCACTAAACTCGTTAGATGTCTAGAATTAGCGGGGTGCGTGGGATTATACTCTGGCAGTGGTTTATGTTCGGGAAAGTACGGTACTTCAACGCAATTGGGCATCTTATTGCCAGATTACTGTGGTTCAAACGCATAAGGTTCTAACCCAAGTTCTAAATTGTATACTAGTAGTACACAATCATAGGCTGCATAAATGGCTATGTACAATGCCGTATACGAATGTGAACACATAATAAAACATCATAGCTTTGAAAAGTATCCGGGTATTAAATATGTTTGTTTGTTATTTACCCCTCCATGAATGGCCGCTATTGGCTTTAATTAATAGCAGCTATGATTAAAAAAAACTAAACCACTGCAATTTTATTCCAAATACAGGTTTTGAATATGAACAACTATAAATTATGGCCTCATTGAGGTTCGCTTTAATATTAAAACCACGCGATACAATTACCCAAATTGAAGCATTGAAAACTTTGCATTTGCCAACACTGTGCACACATATGTATCGTTTCCGTATTTTAACTAGCCTTTGCCGTAAAATATTGATTGGTAGTTAGAACACGTTCTAAGTAATTGATTTCCAAACTGATATGAGAGTACTAGTGTCAATGTTTTCGTAACAAAGAGGGTGTACTTACTCCTTTGCTTGACGGATCTCTGTAAAAAATGTGAAACAAAAGAACTAAAATATTGTTTCAATGCAGTTTAAATGTGGTTATTGTAATTAAGTATCTCTTCATCAATTTTTCATTGGCGATCCAATACTAAAAGTGTTTTTGATGGGTTTCAAAAGTCATGGTAAATGTTTATATATTTGTGTAATAATTATGTATACGATCAATTTACATATCTGTGTACATTCTACGCTAGCAATGGGGGTATTTTTCAGCAAGACAATGTCGTGTTTTCGAAAACATTATTTTAAAAGGCATGTATTTATCATCAGCGAAATGGTGTTCAAATTAATCTAAAAAGTTTTAAGCAGACTCGCTGTACGTAAGTTTACCTTGTAATATGTATATCGTATCATAAGATGTTTTGCACAGACATAGTTCATGTATTAGAAACAAATGTGTTTGAAAATATCAACTGAACAAAATAAAAACTGCATAAATGGTTCACAATTCTGATGTCACAAATCATAACGTGTACGTATCATGAATGATTCTAATTTACTTAAAATGTAATATATACCAAGGGCGTTCAATAAGTTATGCCCCTGACCCACTTCCTGTTGTCTGATCTAGACGAAATCTTGCATCTCCATGTTGCAAAAAAAAAACAGCTCTGAAATAATTGTGGTTTCTGATTTACAGGTGTTTAATCTGAGTATAAAATGGAGCCAGTGATCCGTTTTTTTTGTATTTGAAAGGACGCACATCAAATGAGACTTTTGATGAAATTAAAAAAACTTATGGTGATGATGCCCAATCATATGACCTTGTAAAACGCTGACATCGTGAATTCAAACATGGCCGGAGTCTGAGGAAACCGCTCCCAGACCTGGTCGTCCCTCTTCTGCCTTTGATGAGTCATATGTCCGTCAAGTTGAGGCAGTCATTTTGGAAGCCCGACGCATTACTGTTCGCCAGATAGCCAAAGAGGTCAAGATTAGTACAGGGTCTATGGAAACTATCATTCATGACCATTTATATATGCATAAGTTGTCTGTCAGTTGGATCCCATGGTGCTCACACTGTTTCTGAAGCAAGAACGTGTCGATTGTTCGAGGGTGAATTTGGAGATGTGCCAAGAAGATGAGTCAAAGTTTTTCAAAAGACTGATTACACAGGATAAATCCTAGTCAATGCAGTGGAAGCACTTGGACTCACTGGTAAGGTCATACTAACATTCTTCTGGGACCCGGACGGAATAGTGATGACAGATTTCCTGGCAAAGGATACTATGATTTCAGGAGCCTATTACGCTTCACTTTTTATGAAATGAAGAGAAGCTATCAAAATCAAGAGGCGAGGCAAGATCAGAAGCACGGGCGTGTGGCTATGAAATCCTCCCCATCCCCCTTACTCTCCTTACCTTGCACCCTCTGACTTTCATTTCTTCCCAGCCATAAATTTGTTTTTGAAAGGAAAGTCGTTTCACATATGATGCAGCCTTGATGTTACGACGTGGTTGAAAACCAACCTGGAGTGTTCTACAAAAACGGTGTCCAGAGCTGCATCAAACGTAGTGAGAAATGCATAACTCTGGGTGGTTCTATGTAGAGGAAGACTAATAACTTTGCCAAGTTTAATTAATCTTTTGCTATGGGAAATGGGTACGCAGCATTACTTATAAAACGCCCCTCGTAACGTTAATATTAGAGTGAACCTACCTCCTGTGGGACTGCTTGGGCCAAACTGGCAACCGCAAGGATCAGTAATAAACATAACATCATTGCTGCTTTTCCTATATTACTCTTAAATAAAAAATGTTGTGCAGAGACTCTAAACAAACAATCATGCAACTGATAGATTTGATCTGCTCGTTCGATTATAACGATTAGTTTTTGCTGACGCTAGTATTTGTATAAGCCATTTGGTAGCATTCCCATTGGCTAAATATATTATTGCACACACAAGCAACTTATTTTGCGCATGCTCATTGTCATTATTTACGTAGCTACTGCTGGTAATGATGTAAACCGTACACAGCTAATAAATACAATAAACATTTCTTTGAGTAATGCACACTACTAGGAAAAACAGCTAACATATTTATACAATAATTAGCACTACTTCGTGCTAAGGATGGCTTTTAATGGTGTGTATGTTATGAGCAAACATTATGTCTGAATCGAAGGGTTAGGACCAGCGACAATGCATTGCCACATGTAGGTCAAATATACACGTCTATTTTTTTCTGCGACGATTTTATTCAGTATTTTCATTATTTGTTCATTTTTTAGCATGTGATATGTACGTTCATAACATTAGTTTTTACTATACTAAGCTGCTCACAATTATATTTGTGAATCGGTGATTTGCAGTTAGTGCGTCAGTATGTATGTATGTAGATGAATACATGCGTCACTGAGAATAGCTTCTGCAAAACCTGCAAAATATATGCCACTCATGTGAGTATAAAACAGTTACACATCATCTTTAATTACTCTGAGAACAATCAGGTTTACTTTGATTTGTACTCGTATTCCTGCCTTCCAAGGTTCCTGCATTTTTAAGTCTGCGATAACGCATATGCAATATGGCGGCCTCCGTCATAAGCTTTCACATGACAATCTGTTTGCAGTACTGACCTGAAATAATGACTTATATTGCTGGTTATAATATTGAAGAATGTTTACAAGCTATTGCGCATACTGCTGATCCTTGTAATATTATTGCTGCTTCCAGGATCAATGAAACATTTTTTAGGATCTACATTGAACCACTGGTTAAACCAGCGACTGTTTTTTTTCTGTCGGGAGTACTCCCATTCATTCCAAATTACTCAGATGTACGAAACATTCGATCCATACTTTTTGGATATAAACAACATGAGCTGAAACAACCCCACCCTTACATAAACGAATTTCCTTGTGCGTGGACCTTTATTTGTAATGGAAAAGCTACTCAAATATCTATAATAACGAACACCATGCACTAATTGAATCTTCTTCATGTATTATTCATAGTAAATACAGGGCCAGTAGTAGTAGTAATAGTAGTCCCGAAGTAGCTATCCACATTTCCTTTATCAAACGGAATGAGTGATTTATTGATTAATTATTAGTTTATTCATTCATTTGCTCAGTAACCCACGCCGTCATATACACACGAAAGTACGTATCACTTAAAATCGTGATTACCAGTGTTTACTCAGGTACATGCCACATCGATCGATCATATTTTATTTGTACAGCTTATACAAATTTCCATCGTCATCCTTTTCTCATAACCCATGCTTTAGCTACACAAAAAACTAATCCTTTGTAATAAAACCTAAAGCACTATATTATACAAACAAAACATATTTCATCCACAATTATATGATGGAACATATGTGAAATACAGCTTATTCACATATAGCAATATAAACATTATCCATCCGAAGAACCATACACTGATTTATATAATTTCAGATCACATGATTTAATTTAATTTTTTTCAATGCTTTAAACAAACTCATGTAGTGAATTGTGAGCGATTATTGACAGTTGACATTTGTTTGACTGTGGTTGTGATTATATTATATAATTCAATATTCGTGTACATATTCTCACCTTTTCAATTTAAAATTCGCCGCTCTTTTGTCGTTCCTTGGTAACCACAAAACCACACAATCAACTGAATCAAAATAATACCTCCAGATTCCGATCACCATCCACGCTTTGACATAAGTCATCTCTACACTTCCTTATCAGATTCGAAAGTAAAACCACTGGGAATATTTTATAGACAATAAGAATCTAGGGGTCACAAACGTTACCAGAAAATATATAAAAAAATAATGTAATGTTGTGAACTTCTACAACAAAGTAAACTACAAATGCCCAGATTCAGAATAGTGGGATATGACATTGATAATGTTTACATCTACTGCATGCAAGTCAAACCCCCTGAAACGAGAATTGGGTTCCAGCCAGTCAGTAAATGCACTTATAGTGCAATCGACAGTAAAGTTCGGGTTGACAACATTTAAATACGCCAATGTGAACAAACAAAAGAGTAAAATACACCATGAAAACACAATTTTTCCGGATCAAACTATAGTAAAATACCTAAATGTCAGTCATTTAGATGTCGCAATTTACTGAGTTGTAAACCAATATCTTTAATGTTGCAATAACTGCCTAAAGCCGAACAGTATTGGGAAGATAGTAACAATTGTTCTGCATGCACAGAGACATCCATTCTCGAACAATGCTCACTCAACTACCTGTATTTGAACGATCATATACATTCTTCAAGAAATACATTAGTAGCATTTCCCCCAGACATGATACATTACCTTTTTCATCAACTAATAACCAATGCCAGTTGGTAAATACCGCACCGAGGGATTTAATCACTAAACACATCGTATCTACAATAACGTGGATATCGTATTTACTCCACCAGATTGCATGTTTCCATCAGTTCTTTCTCACGTCCACCACATCGATGTATTTTACATTAGCTACTAGAATGCTGGTTTTTAATATAATTATAAATTATCACATGCAATATTTTATCTTATGTCGTTTTATTTTGTATTATTGGAAACAAACATTTTAAAGATTGCAACGATTTTGAGCAGTTTGAGTGAACTTTTTCTATTGTGCAAACAGTCAGAGTCACTATACTGGCACAGAAAGTAAAATCAAAAGCTGGCTGCATAGATGTACTCTCATAGGCGTATTGGCCAGGCCCATATACATGTAGCAGGATGATAAAATACTTTGGTTTGTTTATATTTTGCAAATTGACACCCAATCAGTAAACCATAAAATACAACTATAAGTGCATACATTACATTAGAACAATACGTTACACGCATTGTAAATTCAGTTACAGATTTATACAAGCACCTCAAACTCAAAGAGGTGATGTCAGTGTAACTCTGTTTCTCTGATGATGGACAAAACATGGCCTACCATGTTTTGAACAATGATCAAAACATGGTTGTTGAACTTGATCGACCATGATCACAACAATATGAACCGCGAAAATAAAACTTGGACAAAACTTCAACGGTATATTGACAACGTGGCCAACACACGATCAGTAACAGCAGAATGTGTTACTTACAACATTGTGATCAAAACATTGTCATGATAATTTAAATAGTGGTCAAATACAGACTTTCTTTGTCAAACATGGTCACTAGAATAGAACATGCCTATAACATTCTAATCAGTGGTCAAACTATCGGAAATGGTGGTCACACATACATCCTAATGGTAAGTACATTCTCAATATATCCTAATTGTGTGGACAAACATAATCGTAACATCTTAATTGAAGGAAATAATTTACAACTTGTTTATTATAATCTGCCTGTTAAACTTTACCTGCCCAACAGTTTAATAATTTAAACTGTGAAATGTTGACAGGTTCGACAGTTTTTAACTATATGCCGTATGTTCTATACTAGCATCACACACAGCTAGGAAAAAATACGGTATATACAATATTTATGGACTCAACAGTTTATCGACCTTATTTAGTAACTGGTGATCCAGCTGTTATATTTGGCCGGAATAAAGGTTTACATAAATGAGAAAGCATCTACACGTCGAACATTGTAAGTCAAGCTACACTTGAGAGTTGAATACATAACACATTTGTTTACTAAATTAATTATGTGTTGAAATAACATAATGCACATTCATCCTCTGTCAGTAGTGAATTACACTGAGACATTTCAAAACAAATATTTGAAAAAGAACAAGGTAAATAAGTAAAATTGATATGATTCACGAGAAATTGTTATTATTTTATTTTCGCTGCGAAGGTTACCACTCTTACTGAAAAATAGTATAGAGGTCAAATTATGCAGGAGACACTGATAAGTAGGATGCAATTCCTAAAATGACATGCAATCGCTACCAACAATCACTACAACTTAAGGTAGTGGGACTATTATTTGCTTACTTGTTTTCATCTTCTAATTGTGACCAAATTACTACAAATAGACCCAGGAAAGTATATATTTTTAGAATCGCCAGACTTCAAGCTTTGCAAAGGTGTGTTTGCCATGTTGTATCTGCATTATATATCCCGTTACTTAATCAAAGGTGAAAAATTACTTTTTCTGTAAAAAAATAATTACGCATTTATGCTGGCGATAAGAAGTATTTTTTTCACTTTTCCTAGTTGTTCAATAGTCTGGTAAATTGAATGTGTCTGGTCAGTTTTATGCAAGCAACGCGTTTTAAAAAAATAGTGTGCTGAATTTCAATTACTGTTTTAGTC